AGAACATTATATGCATACATAATGCTAATTTATATGACTAAATCCGGCGAAATATAATATTGTTTTTGCATTAATGGAAACTAATTATGGGTATATCATATTTTGGAATATAGTTTTTCTCTCTTTAAATTAATATAATCGGTGAAGAGTTCGATATTAATTTTAAAAACCGTTTAATATGAACAAATTGTAATTCAAAAACTATTGTGATGCTTTTTCAGGCAGCTTACCTACTTTATTAATAAAATAACTATTAAATTTTACATTCCTACGTTTAACTGTTCCTCATCAGTAAGTAATGTAAGAGCCTCATGGACTAGGCTTTCACTTTGTCTTTAATAGCTAACATATCATCCTAAACTAACACAATAAGCTTATAAGATTTAAACACTTTCACTATAAAAAATACCTATTTTTATTTATTTAATTAATCTACATAGTTAAGAGTTGCAATTCTTTCTAGCCATATGTTATGTAAGATACTTTAATTTCTTATGTACAAAAAGTATTTTATGAAATAACATAATCAAATAATCTTTATAATAGTAAAATTAAATATATTTATAAAATTAACTGTAAAGTAGGCGCCGCAGAAAACCGCTCCTTTTAACTTACGATTAAAAAAAGTGTAATAAATTAAAGTTTAATATAATTAGTGTTCTGTTTTAAAAGTCAATGCAAATAGAATCATACAAAAATATAGATGCATATAATACAATATAAATAGGCAAATATTGTATACACCAAGTTCAATTCGTTAAAAGTGGTGTTTAATCTCTAAACATAGATAGCCGCTACGTGAATAAATAATTTCAGTATTTTTCATTAGTAGGTAAAACGATTTAAAATCTTCAATGTTTATATAATTAGTGAAGGCTAAATTAATTCTAAGCAAATGTTATGTAAGATCGACTTACAAACGAAAAATTTGTGGTTCTAAGTGTGACCGACGCATTAATAAAGTAAATAGTTATAATTATATTCTGACGCAACTTTAGACAAATATTTTAGTAATTTAGATAAAATAGAATAACGCGGGTACGGCTAGGAACATTTGCCAGTTGCTACGCATTCGAAGATGTTACAATGTTATAGCTTCATTGCTGTGCTTATAAAAAACAAAACAAGCCATAAAGCATAAGGCATGAGTTTATATATAGAATAATCAAGTTGTAGGATTTGAGAGAATTACAACGCAGAACTTGCCTATTTCCATTATTATATTAGAATTATGAAGATTGTTAATGTTATTACATGATTATTTAGACATAAATAATCACCACAAGTCTTACACAAAGATTTAAAAACAAACTGTTGAATTAATGCTTATTGCTTAAATTAAAAGAATGTATTATTTGTAGCGCTGTATTTTTTGATGGAAAATGATGATATCAATTGGTCGATTCAAAATTATTTTTATGACAAATTAACCCGAATTGCGTACTCGTGTGTAAGGAAGAGGCGTGAAGGCCACATTAATGTTAGACTTGGCGTTATCTGGGACCTTGAGCCCGGCAGCCAGCACTATCGACCTGGTGTCATTAACACTTGACGTTACACAAAGAACACTAATTCACATTAATATATTTAAGGGAAATAGGTACCTAAGTGTGGCTGAGTTTGAACTAGAATGTTCGCATTAGGAAACGGATTAATTAATCACTTTGGATTGTTATAAATGTAAGTAATTTGTATTTAAAAATATTACAAAATTTTACACTTATTCTTAATAATTTATTATATACATTAGTAGGTATATGTTTTACGGAAATTGGCCGAATCTACGATAGCAAAAGGTATATTTTCTATACTATGGCTTTTTGTGATAAAACCAAGTACATGTATCGTTTATGCGCCTAGTAATTCGTTTTAATTACTGTTTGTATTAAAAGTATCATCAATGCCATTTTTTCAACATGAACTTAGATATTTTCCAAAGTAATATACCTATCACTGATTCACAATACTGAGACTTGAAAAGCTATTTTGTACATAAGTATAACTCTATGTTTGTATCTGACTTCGAACAAAGCAAATACAATTATGTATTTTTAGATAAATGCTTTATTTCCATAATGTATACATATTTAGTACATTAATTAAGTTAGTTATAATTAATCGGGCGAGCCCGTTGATGTCTAACGTATGATCTAATCCCAAAACTTACTCTTTTGCCGTATCATTAATTGTCTATATCGACTAAATATCAAGCACAAAAATTATTTAAAGTAATACAATATATGAAATAAATTGCCGCAATAACAATATAATGTATTAAAAAACTTACAATAGTTTTTTTTAAAAACGTACCAAATCTTCTATGTACTAAACTCCAAACATATTTATAATATTTTGTTGATACATCTTCAAACGTTGATGTTTTGTAAATATTTGCGTGTGTTAAGGCCGTCCGCTTCTCGCGTGGAAAGTTACCGAAGACAAGTGTTCCCAATTCTCGGATTAGGTCGACGTGAATTATTGCCGTTCGATGCAGAGAAAAAATTATCAGATCCATGTCTTCTTTAGATATTAATGTTAGATTAATGACTATCGCTCCGAACTTAGAAAAAATTTCAAAGTCCCAAATCGGTTTCCGTACACGCAACCTTCTATTAATTATGCGTTTAATTTTAAGCTTAAAGTTGCGTACAAATAAAGTTAATATTTAGAAAATTTTGTTCGACATTATAACTAAATATAACAAAGTTAATTTTTCAGTTTAATATGAATAAAACAAATAGAAGATGAAGGTGTTAAACATCAAGTGTATACCATTAACGTCTTTTAAACATATCTAATATTTATGAATAAATATGTAATTTAAAAAGTGCAATTATAAGTGTGAGAAACAAATTAATAATTACTTATGATCATTGCTTAATGAATCAAATTGACTCTTCCGTTGTCATATTGAAAAGTTAAGATGTGTGAACGACGACAATAAAGCGACTCTATCTGATATAAGAAAGGGAGTGACAAATTAAAGTTTTTCAGTGGTCGATTTCTCCTCGAAGTGAAAACCTCGCATACCCTTATCGGAGTACAGCGCACGCCGCATATCGGGTGAACATTTCACTCGCAACACTTGACTAGGCCTGCGGAATGCCATTTTGTCCATGACCACGTCACGTAATGTTTTTGTCATAAAACATAAGTTATGTGCTTCAGCTGATTGCGCCGTTTACTATTCGTTAAAACTTTTTTACAGATTGGCATTACAATATTGAATTTCGATCATCGCCTTTGCGTGTGTGTGCATTTGAATGTTCAGTTTGTACCTACATAAAACATTAATATAGATATAGTTTAAGCGAATGACAACTTAATAAATTTTAAACTGCAATTAAATAATTTAATACACTTGCTTAGACGCTAACAAAACTTAATTTGCCCGATTCGTTCAGGCTATCATCTAAGGATCATCAAAACAAATAGGTATCATTTAGTAGAAATAAATGTCGTTTTTCTTTAAAAGAGAAAATAAACAAAGATCAGTTAATAAAGCGAGTTTTGCAAGCGAGTGGTCCCGACCGATTGAGACTAGTTTTTTATCAAGAAATCAAAAAATCCGCAGGTAGCGGGATCGACACCACAGCACACTGGCGATACATTACAATTTATGTTACACAACAGGTATCATATTGTTTGTAAAGCCCTTTACTTTATTTGTAGGTAATGGAATTCGTTTTATACCCTCAATGAAAATAAATACTGATTCCCTATTTCGGAATTTACCAGTCAACTTCTGATCGGAGCAACTCCTTAATTTCTATACGTACATTTTGTACTGGAGCGAATGTAATGAAGCGCTCATAACGGAAATTTATTAGAACAAGCACACTTAATGAGCATTTATCGTGGCCTAACAAGTAATCCGACACGAATGATAGATTAATTAGAGCAATAGATGTAATGACAGGTAAAGTAAGAGCGCGCAGGCGGCGGTGTCTGCGGCCTGTGGCCATACGTTTAGCACGAGAGGAGACAGCTCAAAACATGCGAAACAAACGAATGTGTCAGCTCACTGTAGGTGCAGCTTTTTTCGAATGTGTGGACGCACCATTCGGCCTACCTGCCGCCTCGGCCCTAGCGACTACGGCTTGTGGCCCTATTGACCGGGATTCAATAATACTACTTTGTAAAATATTTACTCTGGTTTATTTAAATACTTAGATAATAATATAAAACATTTTAAGACTAATTATTCATTATTTACCTACTAGAGGCTCGCACTACCACTGCCTTTCGTTTATTACCTACAGTTTATACAGTTATATACATATCAACTTCAACTTCGTTGAGAATAACGGGCTAATTACATTTACAACAGGTCGAATCGGGCGAGCTCTTCACGGAAACAACTAAACATAAGTAAACTAATATGGCCTGCCTCCCGGCTCTCCTCTACGGTTACGTCACAAACATTCGGTTACCTCGTTCCAAACTCTACTATACATATTCTTATGGGACAAACAACTTTTTGACAACATTATATAGAAAAAATTTGCGCCACAGAGTTGGCCATAATATAAACTAAGAAAAATAACAAAACAAGTAAAAACATCAGTTAACCATTTGGCGTAATGGCTGCAACTTAAGATTGAAATAAATAGTTCAGGTGAGACGGCCCGTCGGCCGCGGCCGCGGCGGCCCGCGACACTCGCACTTCACTTATTGTTAAATTGCACCTAATGACTCCGTCTCCTACGGCTCACACCCGATTCGTTTTCGTCTCTAATTTACAGTAACGGGCTTAAGAGTTTTATATCCACAGCACGGCACCTCCCGGCCCGGGGAGGCCGTGACGAGCGTTATTCTATAAATAAATTCGATGATACGATCGTCTGTCACGCGAGCGCGGCACGGGCAGTACTTACCGGCGGCACTGCACTGCACTCGTCAGGCGTCACTGCTTGCGAATATCTACACGTATTTACAGGTCCCGCGGGCTAGTGCGGCTCCGCGTAGAAAGGCCGCGGCGGCGCCCACGGGGCGAACTGTTAGTGCGCAGCCAGCGTATGGGCTCCCTGTAGCGCGTGTTGCGCGTGCTGCGCGTGCTGGTGCGCGGCGTGCGGGTGCGAATGTTGCGGCGCGTGTGCCGGATGAGCGTGTGGCGGCGAAAGGGCGGGTGAATGCGAGTGCAGCGGCGGAGAGCCGTGCACGTCGTGCGCGTAATGCCCGTGTCCCATCCCATCCATCATCTCGCCGCCCAGCGTGTTCGGCGGCGTCATTCGCTTTTCCTTTTGCCGCCGGTTGCAGAACCACACGCGCACCACCTCCTTCTCCAGTTGCAGGCTGTCCGCCAGCGACGTGATCTCCTGCGCCGATGGCTTCGGTTGTTTGTGAAAATGCTGTTCGAGCGCACCCTTCACCGAAACTTCGATGGACGTTCGCTTCTTGCGTTTCCGGCCCTGCGCCGCAATCTTGTCGATGCTGGTCGGGCTCCCCGTCGTCGAGTCGGCCTCCTCTAACCACTTTTGTAACAACGGTTTTAATTTGCACATGTTTTTAAAACTCAACTGAAGCGCCTCGAAGCGGCATATCGTCGTCTGTGAGAAAACGTTGCCGTAGAGCGTTCCGAGCGCGAGCCCGACGTCGGCCTGCGTGAAGCCCAGCTTGATGCGGCGCTGCTTGAATTGCTTCGCGAAGGCTTCGAGATCATCGCTCGTAGGCGTGTCCTCCTCGGGTGGGTCTCGATCCAACGCGTGGTGGTGTAGATGTGGCGAAGGCTGCACATCTCGCAGCATGTGGTGTTGATGCATGGGTACCGGGTATCCGGCGTGAAGCGACACGGGTGATCCCGCACCGTAGTGAGCGGACACCACGGGGGCGTGCCAGCCGCCCTGCAGGTGGCGATGCTCGTGCGGGCCCGACGGCGGTTTGACGTCGGCGTGAGCGTGGTGCTGGTGCATGGCCCACGGGTCAGAGGGAGGCAGCGCGGCCCAAGGATTGAGCGGTGCTCCGGGTGACGGGGAGCCGCCCGCGTGTAAGTGGTGCTGATACTTCATCTCGGCGGGCTCTACGCTGCGCGGCGAAGCAGCGTGATACCCGCTAAGATTGCCGAGGTCCAGCTCACCCGGCATATACGTGGTCGCCGCCATGGCGCCGTACCTCAGATCCACGGTGGACGGCGTCTTGCCGGTTCGAAGGCTCGTGAGCCTTCACCTGGCGCACACGATCGCGAAACGGGCGCGTCAGTCGCGCGGAGCGGCAGCGAGGGCCACCTCACATCACCAAAAACAACAACGAGCGACATGCGCGTGCGTGCTCGACGGCAGCACGGAGCGGACTGGCGTGAGGCGGTCGCGGCGGGCGCGCGCCGGCGCCGAGAGGGGCGGCCCCGCCCAGTGCCGACCGCCTAACCCCTCCCGCCCCGTGCCCCTCGCCCCACGCTCCGACCGCTCGCACGGCTCACATCGACACCTTATTATTTACAAACATTATGATTACTCGTGTACGGGTCGCACCACTCACCGCTCACTACTCACCACTGATAACGCACTAAAGCTGCAACTATTACTTTGACTACGTCGAATACTGATCATATGTATCAAAGAACGTGGTATACATCGCTACTAAACCGAAAAAGCAACATTACAAGAATACATTGTTGTGATTAGAACCTACACCATAGGTATTACTTATTATTAGTATGTCGGTAACTACTGTACACCCTTAAAATTAAAATTAAGACTTCTTTTCTCTACTGATTTGTTTTTATGTTATTTGAGATATACTTATAATATCTTTGAGGAGCCAATCTCTGTAGTTAGCTTAATACTTGTTATCATTTAATAATTCAATGTGATTTGAAAACCACAAAATTGGTTTTCCATGATTTTCATATCAATTTATATTTAAAAATGGACTAGAGACAGATCTAGATGAATACTTTTTTATTTTAAACAGAGGAGTTAGCATTATCCTTTTTCATTAATGGACAGAGGGCCTAATGTTATATTAAGGTAAATGGCTGTACCGTTTAGCATTATTTTCTTAACATTTGAAAATATTGTGTTCCTTTCCCTGAAATTCTATTCTAATGAAATCTCTAATAAATGATGGTCATGACTTTTTCTGCTAGGATTAACAATAAACATTTTTGTAGGTTCTTTGTAAGTTTTTTATTAACGTTTTATTTTTAAACCAACAGTTACAAAAACAATTAACGAACGTTATGCACATTAAACAATAACAGCAAAAATATATTTAATATAAACTAACTTTTCTAAGAAGAGAAAATCAGTCTGATTCCATGTCTATTATCACCATAGATATTTGAATATTGAAAACTTAAGTTAATATTGTAGAGTAGATTATCCAATATCAATATCCGACGGAAATATAAAATATTATTTTTCTTGAAATTTTAAACGTTTTAAATACTAACAACAAAAATTTTAAACGTAAATTTTGATTTTTATAAAAAACAAGCACAATTTCAAGTTGTACACGTTTAAATCATAAAAGTCGCGCCATCTACCGCTGAGTAGAAGAACTGAATTCATAAATTTTTTAATACGAATGCAATAAATATGTATATATAATTATTTTTTATACACATTTTTATAATTAATTAATATTATTATGTATCAGATATGACATACATATCTAACTATGATATACGTTGTATATGGATATTTTTACTGAAATACTAGAGAGGTATATCGGTCGAACAATTTGAGTAAAAGTTGAATGAAGTCCGTAGAAAAGCCAATTTTAGTTCATTCAAGTTCTATTCAATGTGCGTGTAAAATTAATTTGAATTTATTATCATAGCATTTACGAGGCTTTCATGTGAAAAGCGCCATCTTGTAGCTTACAATAGAAGTAGCTACTCTGATGGAAAGCTTTTGCCAAAGGTAATTTTCAAACATTTATAAACCCTTATTTTTTTTTGTTGAACTAATAACTTAGCACAAAAAGAAAATTATAATTAGTTATTTAAGTGAATCATAGTATTGTAGTGTCTAATATTTAAAAAAAAATTGGTCAGTTCTAACTTACGTTACAATACTTTGCTGTCTAATTTTGAAAGTTGTATTGTTTATAAGATGGAACTTCAGAATATATTATAAAAAAAACGTTTTGTTTAAATTTATATCCTCTTAGGTATCCATTCATCTTAGAAAATATTCTTATATGAATATTATTAGTATCTATTCATCTAGTTTTTCTCAAATAGTCAATTTTATTTGATACTCAATTTATATTATTGTATTATATAGAAAAAAAATATGTAATAGTTTATTTCTTATACACGTAGGTAGGGACGACTGAAAATATTTCGAATTGCGAGATTTTAGTATAACAGTTTTGATTCCAATTGGGCAATCATTGGCAACTTTAGGAGTTCGAACAAACACACAAACAATGTTGTTTGTTAGGGGAGCTAAGGGACACGAGCCAAAGGATCGAGGGGTGCTTCGGCTTTGTTGATATTACTTCCGAACCCGATCAATTAATAGGCTGAACTTGCATTTCAATTCCTCTATTTTTCTTAATAATATCGTGGTTTTTTCTGTGTAAAAGTGGTTAAGTAAGTAGTAGTAAGTGGTTCTCATTGTAAGTAATAATTAAAATATTTGGTACAAATAAATAAACATATACCGTACTCCCAGACACCGCTCGAGCGTTCTCCACAAAGATCTGACTCTTGCTTGTCTAATCCCTTTCCGTCCAGCCATTTCTCTAACATCATCTTTACATCTATAGATATAGATAGATATTGCATTCTATACTCCTCTTTTTATATCTAGGAAACAATTCTGTTAATTGTCCCTCTAAGTTCTTGGTCTCCTTTTAAGTTGTTTTTTGTTGTATTTTATAGCTAAAAGATTATGTTAAGAATAGTTTTCCATATTGTGGTGTGTTCATCAACGAAATACGAATTGTTTTTTTTATCAGATAAAAATGTCTTGGAGCAAATCAAGACATTTGCTAGGGCTCCGTAGTTTGTAGTAACGAGACGTAGAAACTTTCTTATAAATGATTGATGAATTTATACTGTAGTATAAATATTAGGTACGTCTTATAATTCTAGCGATACTGAGGATTATTTCATAAAATAATCTCGAACAAGACTCGAAATGTACATCAAATATTAAATTATATTTGATCCATTATTTTTTTATGTTAACGTTAAAAAATAATGGATCGTTTTACGTTTTTAGATTTTGGAAATAATTCAGGCATATATATATAGCGATTTCACAGTAATTATGCTGAGTTATATGGCTCTTGCGACATAGAGGTTTACAAAACGTTCAATCTTGTCTTTGCCTATTTTCATCTCAGGGTAAAATCAAAAGTTTGAAAGATTGACATTATCTTTGTTTACAAAATTTTAAATAACTCGGTAGATTTACTGACTGCGAATCCATGGGTCCCGGGTTCGATCCCCATAAGAACCACACCAGACCTTTTTTTTTTCCGGGGGGGGGGGGCCCCCCCGGGTTTTTTTCCCCTCTCCAAAACACTTCCTCCCCCCTAAAAAAACTGGCTGAGACGAACATCGAACTTTTTTTTTTTTGTGATGAGCATTTGGTGTTGTTCTTAGGTCTTCGGTGTTTAAATATGTATTTATATGTCTACCTATCTATTTTTTACTTTTTTAATATGTATATATATCCGTTGCCTATTTGTACTCATAACACAAGCTTCACTCAGCTTAGCATGGGACTAGGTCAATTGGTCGTAGAATTGTCTTTTTAATAAAAAAAAATTTTTTTTTTTAAAAAAGTATCTACCATTTTTCATCAACTTTTCATAAAAATCTGTTGAGTGATTTATAAACAGATTAGCACCTTTTGTGTTAGTTTGGTATTTTAAAATGAATTTATAAATATTAAGCTTATTATTCAGATTGTGTATAAAAATGATCGAATTAAAGTTTACTATAGACAGTACATTATAAACACACACTTGTGTATACTATTGCTCTAGAGCGCTATACACAGATTATATTGTTCAGACGCCTTTAGAGGTTTTGTTATTTGGTCTTAGTTATTCTGCTAATGACTGAACATTGAACAAGCAAATTATTGTACCTTTAGTAAATATTATAGTTGTTTGCTACTGACATCCCCTGTTGGTCAGTTGGTCACAAACCCGGTACGCTTGAAATATTGAGATCGGATGAAACATCACATAAAATAATAATAAGTTATCTGGGGGCCTACCATGAGCTTTCTTAAAACAATCCAGTTGAGATGCTGATGAATTTTAGATTCCTAAATTCAATAGCATTTTTTCGTACCATGACCTCCTATAAACTGTAACGTATTGGAATCGTAAGACCGAACAAAGGAACGATGATTTTGTTGGTGGTTTCTATGAACGTTTTGAAATTTAACTGTTAAACTTGCTTCGCCATATTATTCTATTTAAAAACTTAATCAATCACAATGAGCTATTTGGTTTATAGTATATATAATTATTTATTAAAAATCTATTCTTTTGATATAATTTAAACGTAATGATTTTTGGTGCTATGGTAGTTGACACTAACATTTTTAAGCGTTCCCGTCAAATTTTTAATTATACAAATTTATAATTATAGTTTTACAAATTGTTTAACTAGTAAATATGATGGGGTAAATACTTTTCACAGATTTGTATATAACAAAACAACTTATAACTCGAACACTATATAAAGTTCTTATTTAATATACAAATAAATACCTTGTAATTGTACAAATTTAGTTTATACATTATCATTACTTAATTAATTATCATATTATCATTAATATAAATAAATAAAATCTTTACAGCTTAAACTCTAAGAATATATGTTCACAACTTCACACCCAATTGAACATTGCCTGAAGACATCTTTTTCTATATTGATCGCGTCATCGTAACTAAATAAATACTTTAGTAATAATATTTTCAAATGGCTTATTATTTGCATATTATAAATTTCACCTACACCTACTATACTGATTGCTAAAGAAGGTTTAGCTGTGTAATTCATTATGCTATATTTTAATACAATTATCATTGAAGAAGTCGCAGGAAAGAGACTTTGGTAAAATACACGAAATCTAAGCGGGATTGTTTGAAATAATATCTAAATGATATTTTAGGGAATAATGTTTAATTGTTTTTGTTGATCTATAGCAAATTATAAACTCGATATCTTTGAAGTCAGTAGAAGGGGATTGTCGTCTTGTTTCTTATCTCCGTCAATTTTATAATAATTTCTACATTTTTATTTTTACTTCTAGTTTTAATTAAAATATGAAATTTTATATATGTGATACAAAATGACTTATAATATTGTTTTTTCTTATTAATAGAATACATTAATCGAGTTTGTGTTTAAATCTTCTATTACACGTGCGGACTTTTATCAGAACTTCTGTAAGAGAAACAATTCCGTCGGAGGTAGGTACATGATTTTCACTTCTACCGTTTACGCAGCGCACGGAGCTTTCTATAAAGTAAAATGTTTCCCAGTTTTGTAACATTTCTCATTGATCTCATTTCGCTATATATACCTGTCTGTTATAGCGAAATGTAATATTGTCTTTGGTTTTCCACAAAAACTGAACTATTTCAATTCCAACCAGTTCTTTCTAAGCTTAATAAAGATATAACATAATAACAACTAAATAAAGAATGTATTAACATGATATAGATGAACCAAAAACAATAATTACCCACTTTAAATCCTGTTCTATTAATCCTTAATACTCGCGTGGTCAGAATATCCTATAAATTTTTCACCTAATTTGTAGGTACGCCGGCTTCATCGCGCTCATTGAATGCAGTATAGATGGCCCTAGTTTTAAATAGGTGTTTAAAACCAAAATTTCCAATATTATCCAACAGATAAAAAATGCAAGAAATAAGTTTTAGGTCTCAACATAAAGTTCAAAAGATCCGTTCAGCAAAAGCCCTTGAAATATCCTAAAATAATTTTTAATAAAGCATGTTCGGTTATAATCGGTTTTAAATCGCTGTGAAGCCCTAAGTGTCCGATCGGAGCTACTGTATCATGTTTATGTCTCGAAAGACCGCAAATTTGTCTGCGCAGTGGTTTCGCTAAAGTAACTCGTTCACCTCGTTAATAAAGTTCGAATCGTATTATAAATATTTGGCCGATACGACTTTTTAGAGCCTACAATTTACAGGCAAAGGCAGTTTATTTCATAAGAGTATAATTAGTGGGTGGAGTAGATGCCGGGCGGCGGTCGAGCGAGCTCCGACAAATAAATCTATCTCGCAGGAATCCGAGGACTGCGCGCGCGCAACTAAACGGATTCTTTACCTTTTTTATATTGCCTTACATGCATTCTAGTCTCTGTTATAATCAACTGAAGTAATTTACCATTTAATAATCATGAGGCAAACAACACGGTGTTGCCATTGTTTCAGCACCATTTTTTCTCTATTCAATTTCTCACCCTTTGTTGAGTAATTTCTCAAATGTTGTTAATAACTACAATATGATGCCAGTAAGCATACAAGTCAGAGGCTATGATTCAATGTTATCGTCAGTGCTGGGAGGTCGCCGTCCAGGTAATTGCGGCAAATTGATAGCAATTATAAAAATTACGGCCCATCTGCGACGATAGCTTCCCAAAATACGCTCGCAAATTAGCTGCGCAGACGCAACCTTAAACGGAAATAGGAACACACCTGCCCTCTTACTCTAAAATATAAATATAAATTTAGGAGCACTGAAAATCGGCGCCTTGGCAAATGTCGAGTGTCTGCCTGGTTTAGCCTCATCACATACCAATTGATCACCACAGTTACATCTATTTTAATGTTATTTCTATATAATTGTTTCTTTGAAAATTGTTAGTAAGTAATTAAATTTAGAGATAAGAATGTGAAATAGCCTATTATATATTTAATAGTATCTCAAAGTGTAAATCGGTATTTTTTAAACAAATTTTCCGTAGGTTTAGTCGTACGAAAATAAAAACCGATTCCTAAAACTACTCGTTTGATATTTCTTTTATTATATTTTAGGCAACACACAATTTAAGCTCATACAATAATAAGCTGAGAAATTCCGCTGTTATTTCCTTTTTATTTGCTTATCTTACCTTTAAGAATCTCCGTAATATTGTGAGAAATCGATAATTAAAATGGTTTATCAATCCCTCTGCCAATCGTTTTAACTATTTTTACTGTCTGGGAGGGCTTGTAAAACTAATTATAAAACTGGAGAGGGCTACTTTATTGAAAGTAAGTTATTCTAAACCATTTTTTTACCCTACCAAAGATCTATATCTTTTATCTGACGTGTTGAGTGTTCGTCAACTATTTATACTGAACACTGTGCTCAAAAACATCCATAACCCTATGATCCTTCTGAATACAAAAGATGCAAATATAAAGTCTGCACCTCAGATACCCGTTGGTCCACAGCTTTCTCAAGAAGGTTTTTTGGTTTTATGGGCTGTCACCTTATAACAAGATAAAAGGTTGATCAACATATATCCGCTTACTAATATGATGTAAAAAAGCCACAGTCAAATGGCAAAAATCTAAAAATAGGGGACTAGAAGTTGTTAGTAGTCCTCACATACCTACACTAACACTTTGTATACGAGTACATAGGTACCTATCACCCATGCTCATTATCTTCACTAAGACATATATACACTAAGTCATAAATTCATAACACATACATACATTACCTTACATACACTAAACCATACTGACCATC